TTTTCCTATTGCTATAACCACATTGTGCAAATTTTTATCCTCCGGATATGGACAACAGTATAGAATATATGACTGTTAACATTTATGCTAAATAAATTGAATATAAAGGGTTTCATCTTTCGGATCTTTTAATCTATTCGTTACAAATGATACCCTTGAGGTTCACTCTAATTACACAATCCCTGTCAGTCTTTCCAAGTAAGAAATACTGTTTTGGTATTTGTTTCTATTTTAAAAGTTACACCTTTTATAGATCGTAATAGCAATTTTAGGGAGACTTTTAGAGCCAGTGCGAGCTTTCCTTTATCACATCATTACTCAGTTGGCCTAGACATAGACATGTATGTTATTTGCTAATATACGAATAAGAAACATAGTAGAATAACTGTTTTGATACGAGTCAAATGGTGAATGTTCTAATAGCCATGTATTTCAAAAGTTACCACAGTTTTACACATTTTCACATCAATATAGATTGATTCAACAACAAAACAATAGTAAAACAATGCAACGTTAAACCACATATTATTAATAATCATAAAAGGTGCGTATGTGTATTTTTAAATTTTCCTAAATATTAGTTATAATTATACACTGGACTAGAGCTGTATTTTTAAATTTTCCTAAATATTAGTTATAATTATACACTGGACTAGAGCTGGCTGTGCGTGCACAGCCAGATGGCCAACTAGTATATATATATAAAGATTTATATTTACCTAGAATAATAACTAAAATTCCGAAAAAAAATAAATCAATTTTACGTTATCTTTACTAGTAATTTTTTAAAATATTTTAAGTGGCGGCAATCATTTGAAATTTAAATTAAAAAATTAATTTAATTAATGTACAAAATTATTTTGGTCAAATATTACGGCTATTTCTTTATTGATTACATGGTTTAAATTTGATAAATCCCCCCCTATATATTAATACAGAATACGCTGAGCCTACGTGGCTGCTTCTGGTGCTTCGGAATCCTATGTGTCAAAATTACATGCTTTGTTATTAGACTTGGGTAAATTTTAATTTAATTCCAAACCAAAAATAATTAGGTTCGGATTACCATGTATATGTTGATTATTTATGGTCATGTTACATGTATTAATTGTATTTTAATATCATTCCTTATTATAACTATTGAACTGTATATATATTTTAAAAGTTAATAACTTTTTTATTTTTTATCAGTTTTACATATGTAATATATCAAATTAATCTTCTTTTGATAAGCTTCGATTAACATCCGTATTGTATGTATAAAAAAATAATTTATATTCATCTTTATAAAAATAATAAAATTATTTTTAATATTAATTAGAAAAATAAAATTATTTATCAACTAATATATTTATATTTCAAGTAGTT